TAGATCTGGATACTGATGTTTGCTTATTTAAGAATTGACAAGACTAGAGCTTTTAACCTGCTTAGCATCTCACTCACTTTCCCCACTTTTGTTTAGTCCAGCTGCTATCAAAATGTACAACCAGTACATACTGCTTGCAGCTAGGAAGTAGCAGGCTTGTGTTCCAGAGCAGAAAAGTTCAGTTTTGGACATTCATGCTTGATAGCATTTACAATTCAAGTGGGTTTTTTTGCCTGCCACTGGCTCTACTAGTGACACAAAGTAAATATCTACTGCAGATCAAGAAAAGGTGGAGAAAGGCTAAGGAAGCTGGCAAGGCAAAGCAAAGGTATTAAGTGGTGTTTATTAAAAGCGAGACAGCATCTTCCAAATAGCTGAGTTATGTCCAGTGAGTTCAATTGAAAGGATCATAAACTCTGGCAGGTTAAATGTAAAAATAAAATAAGGCAGGCCAAAACTCAGAATGAGGAACAGGCTGTAATTGGGGTAAAATCTCATAAATCCTTTTTTAAACACTTTAGCAGTAGGACTGTCTGTTGAGCCATAGACGATCACTGCAAAAGACAAGGTAAGGCCAAGGCAGAAGAAAAATTTGCTCTTTGTGGACAAACTGGAGAAGGTTCCTGAGTTTATCTGGGGGACTTGTAAGGGATCTGTCTGATACTGAAGTGATTATAGAAGAAACTATGGGACACAAGAGCAAAACTAACCTTAATATTTTGGAGCAAGTGAATGGTGTTCACCCAAGAGCTCTGCCTGAGCTCACAGATGGAGTAGCTGATGAAGTGGCTGTGGTGACCAACCCCTTGCTTCAAACAGTCTTGGGCCCTGAGGCCTAGAAAGTTGACATATTTTTTTTTAAAAGGACTCTGGAGGCGATCCAAGGAACTAGCAAAGCCTGACTGAGCCCATTATTAGAAACAGTAGTGGGGGGGAAGAAGGAAAAATATAATATGCTAAGGAGTAGTCACCATGACTTCTATAAAGAGAAGCCCTACCTCACAAACCTCCTGAAGTTCTTTGAAGGCATCAGAATGTATGTGGACAAGAGAGATCCTTTTCGTAGAGTACGCTCAGGCTTCTAGAAGGCTTTTGATACTCTGTCACCAAATTCAGTCCTTGCCTGGATAAACAGTTGGTTGAAAGATAGTCAGCAGAGGATATATATAAATGGTCAGTTCCGACTAATTACAAATGAGATCTTCAAGCTCAAATAGGTCTTTGGGTGGCTCTGTCTGAGTGACAGCCAAAGAAGCAAATGCAATGTTAGGAATAGTCCCACTGGAAAAGAGACAGAGGGGAAAACAGAGTGCCTTGGGGCTACTTTATTAATGCTTGGTGCATCTCACTTCAATATCATGTGCCAGTCTCAGAATGGATGAAGCAGACTGGGAAAGTTTGGAGAAGAGTGAACGGGACAGCTTCTGTACAAGAAGCAGCAGAGTCAGATAGGGCTCATCAGCCTGGGAAAGAGGTGGCTGAAGAAAGATCTGGCAAAAGTTTGTGAAATTCTAAGAGACATAGAAAAGGTGAGTAGCAAATGACAGTTGTTTGCCTCTTCCAACATAAGCACAAAGGGCATCAAAAGAGATGCTCTCTTCTGAGAGGTTAGAAGAGGTGCTTTTCTCTCCTTGCTGTAGGAGGCTGTGGATATGAAAAGTCTGCACAGGTGCAGAACACAAATGTGCAACGTCGTGGAACAAAAATCCACTGCAGGTTATCAAGTACAAAGACGTTTGGCCCAGGAGGTCACTGAGCTGCAAAATGTGTAAGAGTATTCTGGGAAAGTATCATGTCCCCTTCTACTCTTGTGAAGGCATTTTCTGTTGGCCACAGTCAGAAACAGGTCCCAGGGAGACGGGCTGCCGGTCTGACCTAGTACAACTATATTTATGTTATGGTTTTATGATCCTTCCAGTAAAAACCACATAACCCAGAATATCTAGCCCATATAAAGCATGGGATGCTGCGTGGCTGGGAATGGCCTTACCAGGAATAATGCGAGAGTGAACTAGAGGGCAGCTTGCAAGTCCTTTTTGAAAATAGGTGTTTTAATTAAAAGGCATTGCAATTCAACATGGAGCCTGTGACAGAGAGAAAAAAAAAGAAGGAAAAATTAGAGAAAGAAAGAGGGCAGCTTGCAAGTCCTTTTTGAAAATAGGTGTTTTAATTAAAAGGCATTGCAATTCAACATGGAGCCTGTGACAGAGAGAAAAAAAAAAAAAAAGAAGGAAAAATTACAGAAAGAAACATCTGAAGAAATTACATTGCACAGTGCTCTCCCTGCAGGCTTCCACCGGCTGCTGATTCAAGCCACGAGGTCAACACTTCTGTAAACTCTTGGTTCCAGGATATGACACATGCACCCTTTGGCACGTGCTCTTGCCCTCGCTGAAGCAGGGTCTTTTAAGTCTTTCTGGATTGAGTCCTGGGTATTTGTGTTTCTATTTTTAGTTACAAAACACAGTGACACATTTTTAACTGTAAAGCCTTTAGCTAATCATTGACAGAATGGTGCCTGTAAAAGAATGCTGTAGTTATTCAAAGTCTACAACTTCCTCTTTTAAAGTTTTGTGCTTATATATTCCCTGGCTGTTAAAACTATATTTTCATCCTGTACAGAGCAGAACTTGTGTGATATACAGATATCATCCTGGGATTTTCTTACCATCTACAACAGGAACATGTCCTAACAGTCATTCAGTTACCACTTCACAAGCTGCCCCTCAGAAATTTATACTTGGAGGCAAACTTTGGTATTTGCTGGAAAGAGAAAAACAGGTTTTGTTACCCTGTTGTTCCTGTTGCCCCTCCATTTGGGATTTTAAATAGGGTATGTGTTTTTCCTGCATGAATTGATACACTTGGGCTCTCCTGCTCCCCAGCTATGGCTGCATAGCTGGAGCTGCTATTTTGTGCCTGAGGAAAGACAACATTAAGTGCAGATCAGTGTTTTTATATTAATATTTATCCTCCAGATAGAGACATCAGCTCATACATGAAATGGTTTATAACCTGAGTCCTCAGGTGTAGTGTGACCAAGGGAAACAAGCTGCTAAACTAATCCTAAACTAAACCCACCAGTAGCTAACATATGTATTACTTTCTAAGAAGCCTAAGGTCAGGAGGTAACGCAAGGAAATAGACTAATTGTGATTAATGTTAATAAATTAGACCAAAAAAAATTACATCCAGGGAATCCAGAAGTTTCTCCACCGTTCATCTCACTGACCGTAAGACCAGCCAGCCTCCTGCTGCTGCAGCTGGCCACGAGAGGCAGGACTTGAAGTGAAGAATCTTGCAAGAGGAGTCTCCTCTTTCCTTCCCCACAGCAGGCAATGGCCCATCCCTTCACAGCAAAGTGCCAGAGCAGAGCACCCTTTTTTGCCATGTCTGTCAGAAGGTACAGTCTTCTAGGGGCAGGTCCTGACTCTTCAGGGAGATCATTGCAGCTGCACACCTTATGGGGGAACTGGTCTACAGAGGAGGGCCAGCAGGGATGAGAAAGAAAAAAACTTCTGCCTCTGCCATCTCACCTATTATTCAAAGACTGAATACTGTGGCAATATTTTGATGTACTTCTATCAACATCACAAAAAGCTGAAAAGGTATTGCCAGCCATGTCCTGCATAGTACTACTATTTATCCAGACTTTCTCAGGCTGGCATTGATATAGGCAGCAAAAGGAGGGAGTGTCTGTAGCTCTGGGGAGTTTAGCTTGAGATAGGAGGATGCCAAAAGGAAACAGAGAAAAATGGGACAATTTAGCAAAACTGACAGGAATTAATGCAGTGATTCTGTTCCTCTGTCCCTGTGTTTCCAGGTGAAAAGGCTTCATTAAAACAATATTGCCTGTTCTATGTCTACGGGGTGAGAAGGGCTCTGCCTGCCCACACAAATTGATTTACTTTTGTTTTTTATTACATTTTGCCATCCAGGACTGTATGTGTGGGCACTCATGGCTAACAGAGAGAGGACTGGGTGTGCAAGCTGCTGGAGGCACTAGAATCACAGCAGCAACTATGTCGCAGTGGTCGAGGGGCAGCTTATACCAGGTGCTTTCAGAGTCACCTCAGCTTTCCACAGACGAGCTCTACAGAGAAGCTACCTAAGAACATCCATTAAATGAGAAAAATAAAATCTTATTAAGTGCACAAACCAGCAACAGACTTCTGGAGAAAAATATTATGTGGATGAATTGTTGCCAGTACAGGCTTTCTTTCATGCTGCAGTTTCTTTGATCTACCTGTCAGGTTATCTAGATCATTAATTTTGCAGCTGCAGTTGTTCCTGGGGTTAACTGCTCTTGTCCACAGCATTTGACAGTTTAAGGCATGAGGTGAAAATTACACATGGGGACAGGGAGAATAAGATTACTTGAAACTATGCAACCAGGAGACAGGAGCCAAAAAAAGGGGTGTTAATTCTCCAGGCCTGCCATGTGGTGAACGAGCTCGATTTGTTGTTTTTTACTGAGGTGCATTGGGCTTGGGTTTTTTCAATTCAAAAGTCAAGTTTGAATGGTTTCTCAAGCGTTCCCATTTCTGAGTGATTGATCGTTCAGAGATTATGCCAACTGAGAGCATTTATGCAGAGTGGTTGCAAGAGCAGGGTGAGAGGGATGCAAGGGTGACTGAAACACTTCAGGGGCTGCTGCCACTTCTCTGCCCCCGAAGAGGAATGATGGGTTTGCAGAGATGGCTCAAAGGGACTGAAGAGGAACGCTAAATAGCTGATGGGGTAGCGACTGGTAAGTGTTAAAGATGGAAGCTGGCCACCCTGAGGACCATGATACCTTGTGCTCTCTATGAGGTTTGTACAGGCTCTGTGTGTGGGTGTGATGCCTATGAGAGAAAGCCTGCTACTGCTGTGATTAATTGATGTTTAAGAGATTAAGGACTGTAGTAAAGTGATTATTTCTAGTTCTGTCCCCATAGCAGATGTGTGCTGTGGTAGGGTTGTGACACACAGGCATTCACAGTGTCTCTCTCTCTCTCTAGGTTCTCAAGCATCTGCGACACTTAAATTTCACCAATAACATGGGGGAGCAAGTGGATTTTGATGAGTTTGGGGACCTGGTAGGGAATTACTCAATAATCAATTGGCATCTGTCTCCAGAGGATGGTTCAGTCGTCTTTGAAGAGGTTGGGCACTACAATGTTTATGCCAAGAAAGGGGAGAGGCTCTTTATTAATGAAAACAAGATCCTGTGGAGTGGATTCTCTAAGGAGGTAAGCGCTTAAATCCTCACAGCAACATCTCTCAAGTTTCCACAAGCTGAAATTTGAACTAACCTTGCACATTCCTTGCATTATGGCTCCATGTCTCATTAAAAGATCCATTCATCTCACAGTATACACGGTCTCTGCCGTAGTCTTTCACACCCTTGCTACACGCTTCTGGAAATAACGGGCAGATGCTTCTCCCCTCCTATACCTGAGCCTATGTATTAATCATTCAGGTAATGCCTTTTTTCCTGGCCCAAGTAGATGGCTTGGAATTTTTCAATGCTGTTTGCACAAGGACGAGAAATTCATTACCCAAGTCTGGTTGTTGACTAAGCCAAGTTTTCCTGAGCTCAGTAGTTTCATTGCTGAAAACAGACAGTTCCACTCCAGTATCTCTATATCAAGAAGTGTCTATTCCTGCTCCTAATTAAATTAGGAGCAGGAATAGACACTTC